CCAGTATCTATTCTAAGGATCACCAAACAACTCCAGAATGAGTTTATATCACAAACTGCCACCTCTCTAGCCTCAGATCTGACCCAGAAAAGAGATTAAATTGACTACTGTAGACAGTGTCAGTGTACTACTTCTCAGAGCACTCCACGGGGAAAGTTCTACTTCCCATTACCAAATACCTTACTGCTTTTTGTCTATAAAATATTGTTTATTTGACATACAAACAGGTTACCTAAAACACCATCTGTAATCATCCTGGCCATCGGGTGTGACCCCTACCAAGACTTGCTTCCCAGACCGGAACGAGCGCCTCACACAGTTCAAGTAGCTGTTCTCAATATCCAAGATTGTGATGGCTCTCTACAGGTAAAAGAAAACAAACCACTGAGAGGCTGCTGTTTCAAAGTCCCTCTTTTAATATGTCATTAAAAATGCTGAATTACTGCCCTGTGATTAAAACTATTAAGTTCCTTTCTTACCTCAAACAAAAACTGATACGCCTTTGAGGTTCTGATAAAGATTGTTTTTCCCCTTGCGTAATCCCTGTCTCATAGTCTGATAAGGATTTTCCATTATTAAAAGCCCAAATAATTTTGTCTAATTACAAAAGTACTGATTTTCTTAAATTCTGAACATCTCTGGAACACTGGGAACATCTGCTCAGGCAAAGCATCAGATATGCATGGAAAAGGAACCAATATACTCTTTTTAGGAACTGTTCAGGGGAATCAGAAAGCAGCAGTGACCTGATATTTAAATACCTGTCAGTTCCTAAAGATTCTTTATACAATTTCTTATGATTCCCCACACCCTCTTTCTTGGATAACAGCCTCACAGAACCAATGTACCTGGAGTTTCCAGATGCTCTTGCTCTCCTGTGCAATTTTGCTCACAGTTTCCCCCATCAGTGCAATAAGCATGTTGAGCAGGAGAATGTATGTAAGGATGACATAAAGAACCAAAAGGATGACAAACACTGACTTGAACCTGTAGTTCTCTGTGAACTCCAGGTCCCCCATCCCAATAGTGAACTTGAAGAGCTCCAAGCAGGTATAATACAGACTGTTGTAGGATGTGCGGCCTCGTTTCACCTGGCAACATCGGAAATATTCAGAGCTATTTGTATCTTGACCCTCGTTGTCATCTTCAATTAAAGTCACCACAGCTGTTGCAAAAGAGGAATCATATATGCAGGATGAAAATACAATTTGGAATCATAATTCCATTGCAAGCAATGGAAGTGAGGATAAACATAAGACATGTTATCTTCATGGTGTGTTGTCCCCAGAGAAACTGCTCTATAAAATATTTGCCAGAACTGATACCCTCTCAGAAGGTGGTGTCTCAGTTTTAACTACACAGAACAGGATGACTGTTCTTACTTCAGCTTTGCAAAGCAGTTTGAGACGCAGGGATGAAAAGCTGACTGAAACTACTACAGATAATTGTTATTCTGAAGAGATATTTTGTCTGTAATCAGGTTAATTTGCTAGTTTTAGTTGGAAACAGAAAGTCAAAAGCCACTTGAAAAATAAAATCTCTGAGATTCTTTAAGACAAGAAAAAGTAACTCCAAGTATGACCTTACCTGTAGAAAATCCCAAGAGGAATACTAGATAGACAAACATGAAGCGACATAAATCTCTAAGGATCATCTGTAAGATGGAAAAAGAGTATTTTTATATTGTTAAAACTTGAATATAAACTACAAAAAATCTAGTAGAAAATACTGCTTCAGCTCAAGAAGGCATTTGCTGTGAGTGGCTGTTCATGCACTGAAGAGTTGTTTATCCTGCTGAGATAACAGAACTTTAATACAGAAAAAAATTTTCTCTGTTATTCGTGCAACAGTTTACAAACATATGCAAGACATACACATGCCAAATAATTTCATCTTTGTGAGGATAAACCACATTAGGACAATTTCATCATTCTTCCCCTCTTGGGCTAGCTGTCTACATCATACATAGAGGTTCATCAGCCAGCTATTGCCTCTTAGCTAATTGCTCTGTTTGGTAACATTTAAACTATACCTAAAGAAATTTCCAGCTGGTAGAAAGCTGTGCTGTTTCCCACCAGACCAGTCTGCACTGTTCTCAGTCTACTTTAATCCATTCCTATCCACCTGTAGTTATTTTGAAGCATGGGGGGTAATAATAACTATAAAATACATGGATGAGGAACAGGAGATTTTTCTACATAAAATTGTATCATTTCATTCAGAAAATAATGACCAAGTGCAGTAGAGTGATATGAGATTTCCCAGTGGCATCATGGATGTAGATATGGCGACTTCTCTCCTGGAAACAGGGCTGTTGGCAGCAATGTCCTCATCTGAGCACTCTGCTGGCCTCATCACTCACTCGCTGGACTAACCTTGGCAATCATGACAGAGTAAATGCCCATCTGCTGGAAGCCACGGGTGTAGTACAGCATGTTAGCCCAGCCCAGCGCCAAGGAAAAGACCATGGAAGCCACGTACAGTTCCTGGCCACAGAAGTACAGCACCACAGAGCTCAGAAGCAGCAAGGAGTGAACAAAGCTGAAAGAAAAGCATGGTCTGAATGCATGAGGTAATACAGCAGAATGAAGGAACCTTAGAAGACATTTCTTCTCTTCCCTTCCTCTTCCCCTTCTCCAACTCTACAATTCCTCTTGCAAACTACCCAGTTTGACCACATACAAATTCCTGTAGTCTCATCCCTGCTCTTCCTTGTTACCGGAGAGAAGAAAAACCCTTGAAAACACCAATTTCTTCAGCACTCCCACTCCTTCTACAGACCCATGAAATTCCCCTGTTTAATTGCACTCCAGCTGGGAGGAGAAACGGCCCAGATTATTGAGAGGCAATTATTTTGTAAGGACCCAGGAAATTACAGCAAAGCATCCACCAATTACAAATGGCTTCAGCCAAAGCTACAGATCTCACACACTGAAATTCAATCAAAGATACTGGAGCTTACAAAAGAACCTCACTGTAGCTGTCAACTATCAGTGTCTTGAATGATGGGCGCCTCTGCACGAAATACTGTATCTGGAAAGAAAAAAAAAGGGAATATAGACCAGGTTTGCATCCATGGAGGGATTAAGTATCCCAGGTGCATGCATCAACTAAGCACTGATACCTACACCAGGAAGCTGGTACATATCAAGCATCTCCCAAAACAGCTCAAAACCAACACCGGCACAAGATCTATAGAGGACTCTTCCAGTGACACGTGATTTCTCTTTCATCTGGCATCAATTTAAAGACAACCACCTATTCAGGCGCTGGTCTGAGTTTGTGTTTTACTGTTCACTCTCCATTGGCTGCCAAGAGGAAGCAGGGGGACTTAAAGCTAGACAGATGATCTTTAATAGAGGCCTGGCTATTTGCAACATCCTATTCTTAGGCCTTGGCTAGGCTAATTATCGAGATTCTCATTGGCTTCTAAGGATAGGGGTTTTTTATACAATAGATAAAACTGAACCTTAGCTCATTAGTAACCAGAAAACTCCTAATTAGGCTAAGACGAAAAGATCTGTAGCTCTCACTACAACAAGGATCACTGTAGTAGCCAATGCTAATGAACAGGAAAGACACATTTGATTCTCTCTTGCACCAACCCAAACAGCAGAAAGAAAAGTTTCAAATATCTTACCCCTCTGAAAAAAAAATAGAGACCTCCCAGTACACTCAAGATCTCTCCAGTCACTCGAAAATATTCCCCAGTGCTGTGACCAAATGTGAAGGGAGGCTGTATAAGACAGAATGATAGATAGGTTAAG